GGGGGGGGGGGGGGGGCGGGCAGCGTCCTTAAAGGACTAGTGAGGCACCGATTTTAAAGAAGGAAAATGAATGCAAAATTAGCTATCTGCAAGCCTTATCTGTTTTATTACCCGAGAGATACCAGTGAAGCCAGAACAAAGTTCTGTAAGCCACAGCAACAGCCCAAGCGACTGCCGGGGGAGGGAATAGGACAGACAGCTTCCCCCATTTCGACAAAACACCCAGTTTAGAGCTCCTCCGGTCTACCAGGGAACAATGCGCCGCCCACCATACCCAACCGCGCCACGACCCGCTCCGCGCCGCACCAGGCCGCCAACGCTCCGCGACCAAAAGGGGCCGCGGAACGGCCGCGGCGTCCCCGCCCCTCCGCGGCTGCCGGCCGGCTCCCCACCCGGGTCGAAGCACCACGGCCGGAGGAAAAAAGCTTCGGGGCAGCTGCCGAAGGACCCAACGTCACAGCCAGAGGAAAATAGAGGCGGCGGGCAGGCAGGACTCCCTCCAGCGCGGCCTTCCCCGCCGCGCCCAGGCCCGCGGCATCCCGCGGCCCCGCCGTGGCCCACCGCGCCCGTCCGGGCGCTCGGGGCTCAGTGGTGCGTGTGCGAGGGGGCGCCGCACAGGACAGGCCCCAGCAGGGCCCAGCCCGGCGGCGCCTGAGGAGCGTCCAGAGCCTCCCGCGCGGAGGGGAGCAGGCGCCAGGCCCGCGCCGCCCAAGACGACCCGCCACCAGAGCGCCGGCCCGCTCGCAGGGAGAGCTCACCGCTATCCTGCCCATACCTCAGCAAGTACCTTCCCCCGCCACAGGCCCCAGGCTGCCTCCGCTTAGGCGGGAAAGCCACCGCTTGCCACCATCACCGACGCTCCAAGATGGCGGACATATCAGCTCCTGCGAGCCCTCCTCTCCCTCCGCCCCGCCTGCCAATCATGCCGCCCCGGCACCGCCCTCCTCCTGGGCTCGCGCCTTTCTATTGGGCGGTGTGCGGAGATCGGCCTCTCACTGGCAGTCTGGAGGATGTCAGTCACTCAGATACGCGGCTGCAATAGGGTCGCGCGGGGATGGGGGCGGGCTCTCGGCTTCCTCTCGGCCAGTCAACGCAGTGGGCGGGTGTATCTCCCTTCCCACCTTCCCGACTTAGCAACAAGGCAACGTCACCCTGACAGGCGTTTCCCTTGCCCAGTAGAAAGAGCAGGTTTCTTTTAAAAATAAACCCTTTCCGCCCAATCTGGAGCTGAGGCGCTCAGGCCGGCAGGAGGCCTCAGGGGGAGGGGTGGGTGCCTGCGGTGGCGATCTCCCCGTATCCTTACCCTCTCCGCCTCGCCATTGGCTGGCGCGCGGAACCACGCCTCTCGGGGCGCGGCGCGGGCGCCAAACTGCCTGACAACAAGTCGCTGGTGCGCGCGGAGGGGGCACGCTGTGGCCGTATGCGGCAGGCGGGGGGGGGCGGCGGGGGAAATAGTCCTCGGTGGGGAGGGGATTTAGCTCATATGGTAGAGCGCTCGTTTAGCATGCGGGAGGTCTTGGGATCGATACCCGTATTCCCCGCAAGCTGGGCTTTTCCTCTTTTGAGCGTCCAGGCGCGGGCGCCTTTTGGACTTCCAGCTCCATCCAAGATTCAGCAGCATATTTTAGCCAAAGCGCATCAGAATAAGCGTGTGTGAAAACCAGGGGACACCACCCAGGCCCTGGCAACGTTGGCCACAGGAGTGCTGGCTTGAGCTGGCAGCTTCGCTGCCCCGCTTGGCCAGACCAGACTGGCAAGGACATCTGCTTGAAAGCTCTGGTGACAAGTAGCTGAACCGGCAGCCTCGCGTGCCCCACAACTGCCAAAAACCCACCTACAGTGCAGTATTTTGTGCCCTGTACTGTAGAGGCACAGACACATTCTGGGCATCCAGGATATCCTGCCTGTGGCCTTCCCTCACAAAACCTCCCAAAATGGCTGCCCCCCTCCAGGTAGGCCTCCAGGTTTCAAAAGGTCAATGGCAGGGTGACATCCCGTAGAATCATAGGATCGTCTAGATTGGAAGGGACCTTAAAGATCATCTAGTCCAACCATCAACCTAACTCTGACAAAAAAATAAATAAGAAATAGGAAATAAAAGTTACTAAACCATATTCCTGAGGACCATGTCAACCTGTCTTTTGAACACCTCCAGGGATGGTGCCTCAACCACTTCCCTGGGCAGCCTGTTCCAATGCTGGATAACCCTTCCCATGAAGAAATTTTATCTAATATCCAATCTAAACCTTCCCTGGCGCAACTTGAGGCCATTTCCCCTTGTCCTATCTCCTGTGACTTGGGAGACGAGACCGACCCCCACCTCTCTACACCCCCCCTTCAGGTAGTTATAGAGCACGATAAGGTCTCCCCTCAGCCTCCTCTTCTTCAGACTGAACAACCCCAGCTCCCTCAGCCACTCCTCATAAGACTTACTCTCCAGACCCCTCACCAGCTTCATTGCCCTTCTCTGGACCCGCTCCAGCACCTCAATGTCTTTTTTATGGTAAGGGGCCCCAAACTGGACACAGTACTCGAGGCGAGGCTTCACCAATGCAAAGTACAGGGGGATTATCACCTCTCAGGTCCTACTCACCACGCTGTTCCTGATACAGGCCAGGACGCTGTTGGCCTTCTTGGCCATCTGGGCACACTGCTGGCTCATGATGTTCAGCTGGCTGTCGACCAACACCCCCATCCCCAGAGGTGACCACCTGGCTGCGGTCAACGGCGCTTTGCCTGCTTGTCTGGCTTCAACAGGTTTTGTTTGGTTTCAATGGGTTTTTGCCTGGTTTTAGTGGTCTTTTTTTTCTGGTTTCAGTGTGGTTTTGGCTGTCGTGAATTAGTTTCCTTGGCACGTGGCTCTTGAAGAGCTGAGGAGAGGTTGGGGGGTGCTGGTTGGAAGTGGCACCAGCAGGGCAGGGGGTGCCAAAAATGTCTAGTTGTACCCTGGGGCATCGGTACTGGCCTGGTCCCAACCTACAACTATTTTTGGTCCCCCCCCCTTCCCCAGACCCACCTCAGTTTTTGTGGGAGGGAAAGTACAGCTGAAGGCATCGCTGCTGAGCCCAAGCCACCATGCCTGATCTACCATGGCAGTTCTTCCCTTTATGTTTTGTGTGTTTGGGGTTTGGTTTTTTTAAAGTTTAGGATTGTTTATGTCTATAAAATATCTGCCTGTCTGTGAATAAAGGTGCGTGGAGGGGCCACCGTGCAGAGGGAAGAGTTGCCTCCTAGAGCAAAGGGAGAAGCTCTCTGCCAAGTCCCAGCTCTCGCGCCTGCCATCTTCTCGATGTCTCCTCCCAATATAGTGACAGAGACAGGAAAGCCTGTTGACAGGCTTATCCGTTGACATCATGAACTTGTAAACCGCTCAATTTCTCCAAGGCTTGCTCCATCAGGGCACTGTGGCACCATTAAATCACGGTGTTAGTGGCTCTTTATCAATGAGTGTAAGCAAGTAGCTGAATGGGGTATGATACAGTCCCGGCTCTCCAAAGCTCATTTTCCATCATGCCAGCATTTGCGTTGCCCATTATGAAGGTAGTGTGTACTTTTTGTGAATGGTGGCAGAGTGCTCTGTTTTATGATGAGTGTGAATCATGCATGAGGTAATTTTTTTATATTTACATATATTTGTTCTAAATATATTTGTTATATATATTTGTTACTGGTCATATTATGTTTAAGAGAAGCAGGTATGTTATGGTTAAGGCAAATATTTATTTATTTATTTACAATGGGGGATTTAAAAACAGCTGAAAAGCTAGTTTAGTGACAGGGTAGCTCTTGCAGGCACCTCAAAGAGCATATGAAAACTGAAAGGTAGTACAAATTGCTGTCTTAATTTCATATACCAAAGGAAGGGGAAAACAATACATTTCTTTGACTTCATTATGAAGGAGCTGCCTAGGATAAAGCAGCTCCACTTTGAATAATGTATCTTCACATCTTTCACATGCTCATCTGGCATACAAAGTTAAGCTCAAATAAAGCTGTACTTACATCTTACTGCAAATCAACAACCAACTCAGCAGACCTGCTCCCATTAAAACAAAATTGATATTACAAAGAGACATAAATATTGAGGGTGCTGCTGCAGTAAGCAGCATCTCTTTCAGGAGAAAAACAGTGACTCAAGCTAGAAATAGGCTCAATTCCTTGGGCTACAAGAGTAGGGTCTAAATAGGAGCCCCTGCATAGAACACCTTCGAATTGTTTGTGGACAAAGGGAAGATAGAACAGGTAAAGCTGTGTGCTTATCTTCCTGTGTGTACCTCCTTTTCAAAGTAAGGACTGAATCTTGCCTGTAGATCAGAGGGAGTCTACGTCCTCCATACTGGTATTGTGTTCAGAAGCTTTAAAGCAGGATATAGGCTGCTTGAGGTTCCTCTGCGTTTTTATCACTTTAAATACAGAAAGATAGACTAAGTTTCTTTAGTTTGCTTCTAAAGAAAAGGTAGCCAACAGATTTACAATAGCTGCAAACAGGCTAACATGTCCTGGCCTTTGTGCTTTGTCCAGGCACTCACACAGCAGAAACTCTTGCCAGCTGCTCAGGTGCTTGGTTTCATAATGCCCATTGCATAAAAGACTCAACAGAGTGTCAGCTTTCTTTTTGTTCCTATGTCTTTCTTACCAGTTGACCAAGCTTTGGCTCCTGTGCTTTCTGTAGGCATTACTGGTTCTCCCAAAGATTGAGTCACAGCATGCTTTACACTACTAAGAGCCATCTTTGCTTATGTTATCCTTCAGCATACGATGGCACATCCTTATCTCACAAAACCTCTGTGAACAGAAGCCCTCTCCGAGCTGTGGAACCCAGTGAGTTGCATCCACTAGAAGGAGATTGTTGGCTGCCAGCTCAGACACATGATCATCTTCTGCCTGAATAAGTTAGTAGAGCTGCAGCAATTATGATGCACGTGATCTTAATGTGTCGCAAACACATCGTAAAAACACAGCAGCATGAAATGTCTTTGCTGGTCCACAGAGCTGTGCAGTTAGGGCTCTGAATGTAGAGCCTGGTTTTGTTTTCTTTTTCATGCAAGTGGATCTATTTAGTTAAATGTACAAAAAATGTTTATCCTCCAAACAATCAACATGAAATGGGACATTGTTTCTTTTTTTCATTATTTTAGCTGGTGCTCAGTCTGGAAAGCTCTCTAGACTGTATTTGTTCCACATTTATTTTAGCTGGTTCCTTTTTCTTTTCTTTCACTGTATCTGTTTTTTGTTTTGTTTCATTTTGTTTGTCAGACCACTTGCATGTTCTAGCACTGAGTACCTGCACTGACTACAGCAAATGGAAATTTCACAATATAAAGTGTATAGATGCAGTTCTGGTTGTATTGTCAGTTGTCAATGATAATCTGCAGGAGGACATTGCACTGGAAACTGTGAGCAGGGAGATAATAGGAAAGAATGGTCTTTCCTATAATGGATAAGCGAGAGTACAATGTTGAATGGCATTCTCAGGACAAGCAACTAGGTTGTTAAAGGGATGATGAGGTCATAACCTTTAGCAAGCACCAGAGGCAGTATCTGGAGAGGATATTAATAGTAGACAAGCTGCTACAGTTAAATAGTTAACTACCTATGCTTCCTTTCCATAAGCGTAAAGCTTGTCTTCACAACAAAGTAGAGTTAAACTGTGCCGCTGTTGACATATCCTATATCCTGAGCAAATGTGCCCTGGATGTAAGGGATCTCAACTCAGAAGGGGCAGGATGATGTTTGTGCTGGCAGATGTCTGATTTTCAAGGGCTTTATGACCACCATCCCAATTCTGGAGAGGTTTGGGACATCACAGGTGCTATTTTTGTCTTACAGAGTTCCTGTCAATATATTTCTAAATCTTGATTTTGAGTAATTATTTTTTAAAACTTCAACTGTCCAGGTGATATCCAGGTGATACTACCAT